GAAGAAAGAATTTGTTTGGTCTTAACGTTTTCTCAAAGTTTAATCAGGGTTCTTGGCGTCTCTGAAATGCCTGCATATTTGGTATTTTTCCTCAAATCTTCTCACTTGCAGGGGAAGGTCCTGACTTAATTTAGCCTCATCTTAGTACTATCCATAGGATTGTGAGTTTGATAAAATAGGTATGTTCTTCCAATAGCCATTAAAGTAAATACATGACTATTAAACGTTGTTAAACGTTTTTGTGTTGTATCTAAGACACTAGGCCATGAGGCAACACTGGCCTTCACCTCCTCCTTGATTCTGTCTGGGAATAGGAGGGAAGATGCAGGACTCAGTCATGAGAGGAGGATTTGGTTTCCTGGGGAAGGAAGTCATGGGGACCTATTAGTCTATCAACATTTTCTGGATCGGGTGCTGCGGGCGTGTAACAGAGAAGGCACAGGGTCTGCGTGGGAAGCGCTGGCCATTTAAAGGAGGGGACAAGATGTTAAGGTTGGTTGGTAAAAAGGACAGCTGGGGCTATGGCGGTGGCCATTTACAAACACGGATCCATCACTGGGCCAGGGAAAGTTAGACCAAGAGGTGATGTCACTGATCCCCGTTGTATAGATGTGAAAACCAAGGTCAGAGGGTAAGAGGCACCTGATGGCATGCACAGGGATAAGGGCCCAAATATCCAGACTGTTCACAGCTAGGGATCCACCACCTACACATTGAGGTTTTATTTAGTGCATTTCTGCTGAGGGAGCAGTCAGAAGTTCCTGGGGGAGCCCAGGCAGAATAAAGGCAGCTGAATATGATGATTTAACAGCCATCATGGATACTCTGAACAGTGATAAACAGGATAAAGGGCTAGTGATTCCTTTTCAGACATTCGGTTGGATGAAGACGCATATCTCTGAAACCGATCAGAAAATAAAGACAACTGGGGGAATCTGAACCCTGACTCAGTATTTGCTGATATTAAGTGATTAGTGTTAAATGTATTGTATTGTATTTGAAACATCTATTTATTTTTGAGAGAGAGCAAGAGACAGCACAAGCAGAGGAGGGACAGAGAGAGAAAGAGAGAGAGAGAGAATCCCAAGAAGCCTCCTCACTGTCGGTGCAGAGCCCAATGTGGGGCTCGACCTCATGAACCGAGAGATCATGAAGCTGAAATCAGGAGTCAGACGCTTAACCAACTGGGCCACCCAGGCGCCCCCAGTGTTAAATTTTAAAGGGATAATAATGGTATTGATGCTTTGTTTAAAAGACGCACATTCACGTATTTATAGGTAAAATAACAGGATGTCTACACTTTGCTTTAAAATAACTCAGTGGCGGGGTGGGGGTGGTTGTGGACTTGGGTGGACGTACAGATGAAACAAGTGTGGCCTGGCCTTGTGAGGCTGGGGGAGGGGTATGTGGACATTTATCGGGCTCTTCTCTTTTTGTATATGTTTGAAATTTTCCATAATAAGAAGTTAACAGGGGCGCCTGGCTGGCTCCGTCGGTTGAGCGACCGACTTCGGCTCAGGTCATGATCTCACGGTCTGTGGGTTTGAGCCCCGCGTCGGGCTCTGTGCTGACAGCTCAGAGCCTGGAGCCTGCTTTGGATTCTGTGACTCCCTCCCTCTCTCTCTGCCCCTCCCCCGTTCACGCTCTGTCTCTCTCTCTCAAAAAATAAATAAAAAACGGTAAAAAAAATTAAAAAAAGAAGTTAACAAAAAAACGATCTTCACCCCCGTAACTACTGCAAGTGCTTTGATAAATCCTTGGCAATTTCCTATGCGTGTGTTTCACACATACACGTTCGGGCAGCCAGGACTGGATTTGTGACCTCGTGGGTAAACCGGCACCGTTCATTTAACTTAGAGTCTTGAGTTTACTCCTCCATCTGTAAAATGGCAATTACGACAACACTTTATTAAGTCAGTGTTGCGAGGGTGAAGTTAATTCAGTGGGTAGAATGCTCAGCTCAGGGCCTAACACAAAACTGGAGCTCAGTGTTTGTTTTCTTCTCAAGACTGGGATATACACTGTTGACTACAACCACAATTCCCGTAATAATGTGTTCTAGAACAGGATCCTGCTGTGATGGAGGCCCCCGTTGGCTGGAGAGGACCTCTCAAGACCCATTCCTTAGTGACTGTGGCCAATCGTCCCAGAAATCTAGGGTCAAGGGACCTTAAACTGACAAGGAAACGGGCCGTACTGCCCACAGTGAAGTTCATTCTGGTCTCAGCTTTGGCCACAAGAGCGACTGTGCTTTCCCAATTGGGAAATACGAAAACCACGGAGGCTGGATTTATTTAAAGTAAATAAGGTTCTGATTGCAGAATGTCCCTACACCCTCACTATCTAGAAGATTAAGCACATCCTTACAAAGTTAATGACATGTGCTTATTGCAAAGTTAATGGCATAGAACTGTGCCTTCTATTTATCTAGCTCTTTGGGTCTTAAAGAATTCCAGCCAACATTATACACCGTGCAAATTATATTTCTCTCTACGCCCGAAGACATAATGCAGATAACCTGACTTGTTTTCTATCTTCTCTATCTGTAAAATTGTGAAAATAGCCTGAGAAATGAGGACTTGATATTTGGAGAGCATTGCAATGTACTTAAGGTGAAGTGCTTTGGGTGTCTTTAGAAGTAGCTATCGTGATTTTTTTTTTTTTTTTAATTCATTGCTGCAATTGTTACCTCTTCTCCAGGACACATTCCACCTGTTCACCACTTTTTGAATACACCTCAGAATTCTACCATTAGCAAAACCTACTCTTCTCGATAACACCTTACATTTCTGTGGTGCTCAGCAGTTTCAAAAACACGTCTGCAATTGTTATCTCATTCAGTCCTCACAACGGGGTGGTGACCCAAACAGGGCATGTGCTTTTATTTCCACTTTACAGGCACATTTAACTGACTTTATATGTTGGAAGGTGCCTAGGGGGTCAGGGAGTCTGAGTCCTTTTTACTAGTAAAAAATCTGGATCTCAGAGAGGGTGCAAGTGATCTCCAATTTCACACCGCCCATCAGTGACAGAACCAGGATGAGAATCCTTGTGATCCCCAATCTTAGCACGTTGGCCTTTAACCCTGGTGTAACCTCCACCTGGGCAAATGACACGTCCTACCTGGCTCCGAGCTGTCCCGAGTGCCCACAGCTGGCATCCCTCGAGGGAGCTGGTTAGACATGGAGCTTCCTGGACCATATACCATACTGAGTGCATCAGTCTTACAAGTAGGGAGCTCAGAAATCTGCATTTAAGATACACTCAGACGATTATTCTATACTGGGAAGTGCAATTATTGGACTTAAGCTCTGTGGCTCTGATCCCTTGTGATATGATGGTCTTGAGGTGTATGGGCCACCAGCACGAATCGCTCCTTGGGAATTCCTTGGTGTCCCTTGCTGTCTTCGTTACCACATATTGAACTCTCACTGCTCAGTGATGGGTCTGTGATGGTGCCCCTCTCTTCCAGAATTACCATCTGGGCTCTGCTTTGAGCCTAACACTGTGTCAGCGGATGTTAAAAGGCTGGAAGGATAGACTCAGGGTGGCTAAGAGTGGAGGGCGAGCCTCGGTGGGACAAGGGAGAAGGCTCGGCTGCTGGACAGCACCACTGTTTTGGACGTAACGATTTGGGTGTCTGTCGGGGTGATTCATGGTGCCCCTTTGCCCACGCCAATTGTGGGGACATATCTGCAGCTGGGGGTGACTGAGAAGAGCGTGTGTTCCTCCACTAAGGGGACAGAAGTGTGCCAGAGCCCACGGTTAATGGTTTCATACGTTCTCTCTTTTAATCCTAAAAATACCTCTCTGAGGAAAGGCAGTAGATGTAGTTACCCCAACTTGAAAATGTGGAAACTGAAACTGAACTTGCCATATTCTTGTCACTGATCAAATCGTGGGGCTGGGGATCCAAATATCGGGTGGACTTCAAGTGAATGCCCTTCCCCCTCACAACATACGTGTGACGGTCATTATTCATGGATTCTCTATTTGTGTATGTGCCCACTCGCTAAAGTTTGTAACCAGCAAATCAATACCTGTGGCGCTCTGGTGGTCATTTACAGACATGTACAGAATGACAAAAAATTAAAGTCACCTGATACACACATTCTAGCTAAGGAACCTTTTTTTTTTTTTTTTAAGTTTTTTTTTAACGTTTATTTATTTTTTTGAGACAGAGACAGAGCATGAATGGGGTAGGGTCAGGGAGAGAGGGAGACACAGAATCCCAAACAGGCTCCAGGCTCTGAGCTGTGGGCACAGAGCCCAATGGGGGGCTCGAACTCACAGACCGTGAGATCATGACCTGAGCTGAAGTCGGAGGCTCAACCGACTGAGCCCCCCAGGCGCCCCCCAAGGAGCCTTCTTGTTTCAGCTCTCACACTGTAAAATAGTGTCCTTTTCACAGTTTATTTAGGGCCACATTCTTGACATTTTCGTGCTCTTTTGGGGGGTGGAGGATGATTGCACAGTTCAAATGGCCCCGTAGCACATTGCCCAACGGCTGTCTAGTGCCCTTTAATGAAAGAAGGTGTGATGTGCCTGACGGAGAGAACATGGGTTAGATAAGCTTTGCTCGGGCATGAGTGACAGCACTGTTGGCTGAAAGTTCAATGTTAACGAGTCAATAGTGCATACTAAATAAGATGTCTTTCAACAGTAATCCACATAAATACAAGGTTATGTCTCGGTTGGTTGACGAAACTGTGACTAGAGGCGGGCAGGAACCGAACCCTGCATTTCTACCCGGGGCGATGGTCTGGCACTCGCGAATTCGGCGTTCGCGGTCACTTTCCAGACCAGAACGGCTTCAAGTAGGGGGTCGGCTGTATTTCCTTGCGAGGCCTCCGCGAAGCCGAATGCAAACGTGTCCGCCGTGGCCGGCCGGACTATCAGACGGAGTGTCTCGTGGGGGTAAGCCGGCCTCTTACCTGGCCAGCAGCCTCGGGCACGTCGGCTCCTTCACTAACTCTCGGCTTCCCCGCTCTCTCCCGCAGAGGGGCACAGCCGAGCCTTTCCTGAGGCTCCACAACCTGTACCGCAGCCCGCGCTGCGCCAGGCAGGCCGCCCTGCCCAGGCTGAGCCGCAGAGTGACCAGCCAGCACTCCTACCCGCTGAATCGCTTCTCCTCTGTGCCCTTGGACCCCATGGAGCGCCCCACCTCGCAGGCGGACCTCGAGCTGGATTACAACCCTCCGCGAGTGCAGCTCAGCGACGAGATGTTCGTCTTCCAGGACGGGCGCTGGGTGAACGAAAACTGCCGCCTGTACAGAGAACTGTACTTCTCTCCGTCGTCCTCTTTCCACCACAAGCTGCACCACAAGCGGCTGGCCAAGGAGTACCTGCTGCAGGAGGAGAACAAGGCGCTGCGCGAGGAGAACAAGGCGCTGCGCGAGGAGAACAGGACCCTCCGCAAGGAGAACAGGATCCTGCAGGTCTTCTGGGAGGAGCGCAAGGCCACGCTGGGCCGGGAGGAGAGCAGGGCCGCCTCGCCGCTGCTGCACCAGGACAGCGCGGCCCTGGAGGTGGCGAAGGACGCGGCCTTGCAGATGCACCGCCTGCAGGAGGACAGCAGCCTGCAGCTCCTCAGGGAGGAGAACAGGGCCCTGCGACAGCGGCTGGAGCAGAGGAAGGCCTACTGGGGCCCGGCGGAGGAGAAGGCGGGCCCCGGGGAGGAAAGCACGGCGGTCCCCTCGGCCCACGAGGAGCTCCACGGCCCCGGGCTGCTGCCGGACCAGGGCGCAGGCCTCTCCTCCGCTTTCGAGGAGTCCAAGGGGCCCTCGCCCCCCCAGGACGACTCCAAGACCCTCCGCGTCCTGCGCCAGATGGTCAGCAACCTGTCGGGGTCTTCCGGGGACGAGGAGAGCAAGGCCGGCCCCGGCCTGGCTGACGGGAGCCAGTCCCTGGAGCTGCTGAGGGAGATGCACCAGGCGCTGCAGGCCCTGCGGGAGGAGAACCAGAACCTGCAGGTCCTCCGCGAGGAGAACCGGCTGCTGCGGGAGGAGAACAGGGCCCTGCACGTGCTGCGCGAGGAGCACCGCGTCTTCCAGGAGGAGAACAAGGCCCTGTGGGAGAACAAAACGCTGAAGCTGCAGCAGAAGCTGGTCATCGACACGGTGACCGAGGTCACCGCCCGGATGGAGATGCTCATCGAGGAGCTCTACGCCTTCATGCCGGCCAAGAGCAAGGACCCCAAGAAGCCCAGCAGGGTCTGAGGCCCCCCCCCCCCCTGTTTAGGGGCTGAGTTCAGAGTCCTTTTACTGTAAAAAATCTGATCTCAGAGAGGGTGCAGTGATCTCACATTCTCACACCCCATCAGTGACAGAACCAGGATGAGAAGCCTTGTGATCCCCAATCTTAGCACGTTGGCCTTTAACCCTGGTGCAACCTCCACCTGAGCAAATGACACCCCTACCTGGCTCGAGCTGTCCCTTCCACAGCTTGGCATCCCTCGAGGAGCTGGTTAGACATGGAGCTTCCTGGACCATATACCATATATGCATCAGTCTTCAAGTAGGAGACTAGAAATCTGCATTCTAGTCTTCAGACGCATTATTCTATACTGCGAATTTGCATTTGGACTTAAGCTCTGTGGCCGATCCCTTGTGATATGATGGTCTTGAGGTGTGGCCCCACACCAATCGCCTCCTTGGAATTCCTGTGTCCCTTTGCTGTCTGCTCGTTACCATATTGAACTCTCCTCACTGCTCAGTGATGAGGTCTGTGATGGTGCCCTCTCTTAGATACCATCCTGGGCCTTAGCTTTGGGCTTCACACCTGTGTCAGCGGATGTTAAAGGCCGAAGTGATAGACTCAGAGGTGGCTAGAGTGAGGGCAGCCCGGTGGGACAAGGGGAGAAGGCCGCGCTGGGACAGCACCACTGTTTTGGCGTAACGCATTTGGTGTCTGGCCGGGGTGATTCATGGTGCTGCCCCGCAATTGTGGGGACAATTCAGCTGGGGTGATGAGAGAAGAGCGTGGTGTTTCTCACAAGGGGACAGAAGTGCTGCCAGAGCCCACGGTTAATGGTTTCATACGTTCTCTCTTTTAATCCTAAAATACCTCTCTGAGAAAGGCGTAGATGAGTTACCCCAAGCGAAAATGTGAAACTGAAACTGAACTGACTTCTTGCCTCACTGATCAAATCGTGGGGCTGCGGATCCAAATATCGGGTGGACTTCAAGTGAATGCCCTTCCCCTCCACATACGCTTACAGTCACTTATGGATTCTCTATTTGTGTATGTGCCCACCAAGCTAGTTTGTAACCCAGCAAATCAATACCTGATGTGTGGCTGGTCATTTACAGACATGTACAGAATGACAAAAATTAAAGTCACCTGATACACACATTCTAGCTAAGGAACCTTTTTTTTTTTTTTTTTAAAAGTTTTTTTTTTAACGTTATTTATTTTTTGAGACAGAGCCAGAGCATGAATGGGGTAGGGTCAGGAGAGGGAGCAGAAGTCCCAAACAGGCTCCAGGCTCTGAGCTGGGCACGAGCCCAATGGGGCACTCCGAACTCACAGACCGTGAGAGATCATGACCTGAGCTGGAAGTCGGAGGCTCAACTGACTGAGCCCCCCAGGCTGCCCAGTGAGCCTTCTTGTTTCTGAGCTCACACTGTAAAAATAGTGTCCTTTTCACAGTTTATTTAGGGCCCCATTCTTGACATTTTATTTGCTCTTTTAGGGGGGTGGGATGATTGCACAGATTCAATGCTGATTATGCATTGGCTCCAACGGCTGCTAGTGCCCTTTAATGAAAGAAGGTGTGACAGCCTTGACGGAGAGAACATAGGGCTTAGATAACTTTCGCTGGGCATGAGTGACAGCACTATTGGCTGAAGTTCAATGTTAACAAGTCAATAGTGCATATAAATAAGCATGTCTCCAGTAATCCACATAAATACAAGGTTATGTCTCGTTGGTTGACAAACTGTGACTAGAGGCGGCAGGAACGAACCCTGCGGTTTCTACCGGGCTTGATGGTCTGGCACTTACATGCCAGTGCGGTCACTTTCCAGACGAAGCGGCTTCAAGTAGGGGGTCGGCTGGTCTTCCTATGCAGGCCTCAGCGAAGCCGAGTCTAACGCGTGTCGCCGTGGCGCGGACTATCAACGGCAGTGTCTCCGGGGGTAAGACCTCTTCCTGGCACAATAGCAGCCTGGGCACTGGTCGGCTCCTTCCTAGTGCTTCCCAGCTTCTCCCGCCTCAGAGGGGCACAGCCTCGAGCTTTCCTGAGGCTCCACAACTATACCGCGCAGCCTGCGCTTCAGGCAGAGCCGCCTCTGCCCAGGCTGAGCCAGCGAAGTGATCAGCCAGCACTCCCTACCACTGAATCAGCTCTCCAGCCCTTGGACCCCATGCCTGGCCCCACCTGGGCGGGACCTCAGAGCTGGATTACAAGCCCATAGGAGTGCAGCTCAGCGACAGATGTCTGCACTCAGGGCCAGGCTGGTACAAAACTGCACTGTACAGAGAGATCACTTGCGCCCTTTCCACCTGGCAGCTGCACCACAAGCGCGGCCAGAGTACGCTGCAGGAGGAGGAACAAGACCTAGCGAGGAGGAACAAGCGCCGCGAGGAGAACAGGACCCGCATAGGAGAACAGGCAGGTCTCTTTCGAGGAGGCTACTACACGACTGGGCCGGGAGGAAGAGGTCACAGCTACGCGCCTGCACCAGGCTTAGTGACCTGAGAGATGGCATGAGCCTTGCAGATGCAAGCCTGCAGGAGGACAGCATCGCAGCCCTCAGGAGGAGAGACAGGGCCCCGACACGGCTGGAGCAGAGGAGAGTCCTACTGGGGCCGCAGGAGGCATGGGCCCGCTAGGGAGGAGCACGTGGATCCCCTGCCCACGGACTCCACTGACCCCGAGGGCTGCTGCCGACCAGGGCCAGGCCCTCCCTGGCTTTTCGAGGAGTTCAGGGGCCTCGCCCCCAGGACGACTCCAGACCCCCTGGTCCCCAGCGCCAGATGTCACAACCTGCCTGGGGTCTTCCGGGAGAGGAGAGCTAAGGCCGGGCCGGCTGCGTGGAGCCAGTCCCTGGAGCTGCTGAGGAGATGCCCAGGCGCTGGGCCCGCTGGGAGGAGAACCAGAACCTGCAGGTCCTCCGCGGGGAGGACCCGCCGCTGGGGTGCAGGAGAACAGAGCCCTGCACGGCTGCGCCGAGCACCCGTCTTCCAGGAGGAGTGAAACAGGCTGTGGGAGAACAAAGCAAGCGCAGCAGAAGGTCATCGATACGGTGGCCGAGGTCACCGATGGAGATGCTCTCAGGAGCTCATCGCCTACATGCGGCCAAGCAAGGACCTCAAAGAGCCCAGCAGGGTCTGAGGCCCCGCCCCCCCCAAGGGCCTGGGCAGCGTGACGCCCAGCCAACGCGCTCCTGCCTGTTCGTCATCCCCTCCCCGCCTCAGCCCCCCACCAGGGCCCTCAGGAAGAGACAGCGCTATCGTCACTAACCTCAGGAAGCAATAAAAGCATGGGAGGCCGGCCGGTTAACATCAGCGAGCCGGCTCTGGCTTCTTTTTTCTTTCTTTCTCCGGGCGGTTTGGGTTTCTGGCAGAAGTGAACAGAAGGTACAGAGAGTTCCTGTGTGCTCCCTGTCCCACCCCTTCATGCACGCCCAGCCCCTCCCTGCTTATCACACATCCTCCTCCGGGGGTGCTCTCCAGCTCATGAACGCGCATTAGCACATCGTTTTGCCCGGTTCCTGGTTTAGATTGTGGTTCTCGCTTCAGGTTGTATATTCTGTATGCGTTGACAATGGGTAATGACATGTATCTACTTCATTATAGTACCAGAGTATTTTCACTGCTATCCCCGTTGGCCCACATACCTCTCCTGCCTACTGGCATTCACCTCCCTCTCGCACTGCATGCAACTACTGATCTTTTACTGTCTCCACAGTTTTACCCTTTCCAGATGTCATAGATTGGAAACCCACAACATGTAGCCTTTTCAGGGTGTCTTCTTTTGTTTAGCAAAGTGCGTGTAAGTTTCCTCTATGCCTTTTCATGTCCTTGCAGTAGCCTATTTCTTCTGGGCTGAGGAATATCGCTCTTGTCTGGGAGGACCACCGTTTATTCATTCACCTTGGACATCTTGGTTGCCTCCACGTTTTGGCAGTCATGAATCTGTCTTCTTTTGTCCCACGCTCCAAGTCTCGGCCCTTAGTTGTCTGTTTTCACT